ACCACTACCACTACCACTACCACCACTACCACTACCACCACTACCACTACCACCACTACCACCACTACCACCACTACCACTACCACTACTACTACTACTACTTGGCAGGGAAGGATTTAATAGCAATGGTAAAAAGATAAGTAGGGTGGCCAATCGTTAGGGTTGTTGCACTGTAATGGTCAGGTTACCCATTAATTTAATGGTATAAGTATTATAGTAGTAGTAGAATGTTGATAATGTTTTACAGTATTTTAAATGGAAAATGACCCAGTCTGAAAAAAGTAAAATCAGAACCAGAATTTCAGTTTTCATTTCAAATCGAGTAGTCATAGTTTATGTTCACATGTTGATGCATGTATATTGTATATATTAGTAATAGTTCATAGGCATATATAATCAGCTAATATTATAACCAACCATCAATCAATTATATTATAGTTTAGATCAGCTAGGTGCAGAGCACGTTTATTAAATTAACTCCTTAAATTTCTGCGTATTTTTTAAACATTGTATTCTGGCTCCTAAGTAATAATTAAAAATGAATGCCATACTTAAAACATAGAATGCATCAATTTAAGTGGGAAATAAAATATGTAAAATATAAAATGTAGAAGATGTTTTTTATTTTTAGAATGGGAAAATGAGAAAATGGGATTTTTTTAGAATGGGAATGGGATTCATCTAGATCGGGAAAAATGGGTTTTGATACAGGAACTTGATTTTGGAAAATAGCATTCGATTMAAAAAGGAATAAAAATGTAGACTTTAGTTCCTCGATCTTCACTTAAATTTCCCGTCTGGGGGACAAAGCAAAATAATGTCTTTCTCTTGTCAGAGGATTGATCTTTTTATGTAAATAATTGCAAAAGTTGGAAAACTGCATGGTCAGAACTTTGATACTTGTTTTTCTGTGTCTATCAGCAAACTCTTGTGGGGAGGGGAGGGGAGGGATTCCTTGAAATTTAATCGTCGCACATTTTCAGTTTCTCATCAATCTTTAAACTTCTCAATACTAAAAGCCATGTGTTGTTACAAAATTAGGCCGGTGCTCAAACAGGTTTTCACGCGTACGTGAGGGAATTCGATCCGTAGGGATACTAATAGCGCGGAAAATCAGGGAGGTGTGTACGCAGCAGTCACACAGCAGCGAATGGCTGCGCTGTATTTATTAGGGGAATCCCCGGTTCGGATGCAATATTGCTTACTCATTCATACTAGTACTCATAGTAGCAATGCGTATAGGTATATGTACAATGCGTTTACTAGCTATACGCATTTGGTTCACATTCATATGAAAATATTCAGCGAATGAAATTTAATTTGAAAGCAAGTACTATCACAAATTCCGCAAGCCTTAAACAAGAATATATTTCGAGTTAGATACGCTGGATTTAAGCGAAATATGAAGGTAAGTTTAGTCCTCTAGTGGAATGTCAACTGTATTCTAACTACGTATTTGAAAATGAATTGAGGTTTCGCTTGTTTAGACGGCAGTTCTTGCTATTTTCTGGTCATCATTGCCATTCAAGTGCTGTTATGCGATGCATGTATTAAAGCACACTGACACAAATCAGTAAGAAAACGTGTTTCGTAGTATTATTAATATGACAATACAACAGAACTTCCTAAACTTTCGAATCACAAATGCTTAACGTCGTACAATTCTTTCTTTGAAAAAAAAAATTTGCAAAGAATTTAAGATTATTTTAGTGAATTTTCGTTTAAGGAAAAAATCTGAAAGACTGATAAAATTCAAGTCGATATATGTTTCAGTTAAGTAAGTTCGCGCGGGAAACGTAAATGCCACCGAGTCAGCTGTTAATACACTGTAATTAATCTTCGAAATACTAACGTACTTTTCAACTAGGCTCTCAAATTTTTCTACGTATACCCATAATTTTGTACTTTGAAACATTTATATGCATAAAAGATGATGGATTTCTTTTCAAAGAATATAAATCTTTGTCAATTCGTATTTTTTKGGGGGAAATACGATTGCGCCATCAATTTTGCAATCGCTCGCGAGATCAATGAACACCGTCAGGATATGACGTCAAATCACGAGACCATCACAAGACGCTGAACACAATGAAAGTCAACTTAAGTATTTTTAAAATGTCGGTGGCAAAAAATTATTGTAATTCTAATTTTTCTTTTCTCTTCTGTCATTTTCTTTACATTTTTACTTATTGAAATTATAACTTTTTCAACTTTTCTTTTCCTTTTTTGTGTTTTCTTCTTATATTTTCTTTCTCTTTCATTCATTCTTTTTTATTATTAATGATTTATGCATCACTCTTCTCTCTCTCTCTCTCTATATATATAATATACATATATATATACTACTGGAATTCTACTATTATATTCTATATATTCTACTGGAAGTTCATCGTTGATCTACCATCTATATTCGAGTTCATATATATACCTTAAATCCTCTATTTAGCCCCCCCTCTCAAATGAGCCCCCCTCTCTAATAAGCCCCCCCTTTTTAAAGGAAGAAATTTATTAAGCCCCCCCTCTCTTTTTAGCCCCCC